ATAATAATAATTATTATTAGTTACAATGCAACCAAAGGGCTCAGAACTTTCATTATTTGCCAAAATTGAAAAATAAATATCACCAACATTATTGAAATATAAAATCATTTCATTATATGCAATATTCCAGCATAAAAAAATACTAAGATGTTATTTTTTAAGAACCATTCTGTACAAAAAATATACTTTAAAAAATCTGGCAATATATAATACGTATACTGTCTTTTACATTCATTAAAATTGCTTGGGATACTTAAATTAATATGCAAACTTGGCATAAAATCACTCTAAGTACAGGCATATTTTATGAAATAATAGTAAATCCGAAGACATAATTTTAAATATATGTGTATCATAATATTATTTGCGTTTGACTGTATTCTTTTCTTATTTCAAAATGTTATTTCAGCATTTAACAAAACGAACCAAGGACTTGTTTTTTAAGGTCAAGATACTGGACTGCAAGTGCTTTAAAAAAATGGCAATTTGTACTGGTCGGAAGCCGGCGAAGAAAGCAACGATCGTTTCCGGTTCCGGTCATTCGTGTACAGCAATTTTCTACATGTATGTGCTTGTGTGTGCGTGTGTATTTTTATGTTATTGTCGTGCGCCTCGCTAGATCGTATATCTTCGGGAATCGCTTCAATGCTTCACTTAATTGGTATATATGTGCACGACAATAAATTCCATCCTCCATTAACGTTTATTTTTCTTAAATAAACGAAAAAAACGCTATAGTTTGGCACATATTTTATCAAATTATTGATTGGTTTAATTATAGGACACAGTTGGAATTGGATTTCCCATTAGGATGAGGAAACGCTCTACAATTATTCTCAATTATGTTATAAAGCTCGGACAATTAAACAAAGTGTACAGAGTAATTCTAGGGAACTTTATGATCGTATCATTAGAGGCTTCGTTGCAATCACTAAATGATAGCGTTGCAGATTCGCCCTAAATTGAATATATAATCATGTGTAATTTAGATAAATTGAACAGATGAATTTAACTAAATAGTAAATGTAATACTGATACTAAAATAAAACTCTACAATAGAATACACTTCTTCATTATATTTATACAACAATTAAATTTAATGAATGCAACAAGTATTGTTGGTAAATGGATAAAAGGAAAAAAAAATAGTATTCTCTTTTTTCGGTTTTTATTATAAAATGTATGGCTGACGTAGGCCGGATGGAAAAACTTGTCGCCATTAAAGATTTCCATTCGAAATTCGCGACGCAAACATTTTCTTCCGGGAAAGTTATATGAAGTTGAGTCGGAAAAGTTTATGCACGGTGTATGCAGTGAGACCTCATCCCATTAACATAGGCACGCATCGCTGTTTCAAGGATGCGAAGAAAAAGTTACGCAAGCCGGTCAAAATGTAATTATTTTGTATTCGGAAAATTTAATTGGTACACGTGCAATAAGAACGACGAAGCTTTTTCCCGTTCCATCCAGAAAAAGAAGAAGTGTTATCGTAAAGGAGAGACGTTTATTTCCGCTGTTTGAAAATATGTCGCGTACGAATATTTCCTGTCCCATAATTAAATACTGTAATTTTAGGGAAGCTGCAGGCTCGAGGACGAACGGAAATTTCATAAAGCTTTCGAGATAATGTCGCTATTTTATTGCGTTTACATTCATATACCAAAAAAAAACAGAAACGTTGTCGCTCTGAACACAAGAAAACATTGCTTGCTTTTTGCTCGTTCTTTTCTATTTCGGCATTTATTGATGATGTAATGCGGTGCAGATAAGACGTGTTTAGATAGTGGGCGCTTTATTTCGGGTGGTGTATATCAAATGTGTTTAGTGTATAGTCTGCTATGGCATCTCCCCTTTTGTATATTTTATGCGAGATATCCTTGGAAAGGGTATTGTCGAGGATAAGGCAAGGGCGACGTTGGGTTATAATGCCATCATGCACCGCTCAGATGTTCCACCACAAAGAATACCGTAATAGGGAAATTTTCTACTGTTACCTTTTTTTACCTCTTCTCTTGTCTAGTTTATAGCCGTAAACGTGCAGAATATATTTTAGAAAGTTCGAAATGATTCCTTCTCAAAAATAAATAAATACATCAATGAAAAACCTCAATTTCATCTTCCTTGTCTAATTTATCATTGTTAAACACTGTCAAATAAATAGAATTTCTAAGCATGAAATAATAATTTTCTACAAAGCAAAAATATGAAAAATATTTCGCGTATAATAAGATATAAACAAGTTTATGTCATAAAATGAAAATTTTCAAAAAATTTGACCAAATGTTCCAGAATTAACCGCATATATCCCAATAGGATTATACCCTCTATTTTATAGAGGGCATACTATTCTTAGAATCATAGATAGTATTAACTTTCCTTCTTACTCTTAGGTGACGAATGAAGAAAACAAGTTGATGTTAGTTTCCAATCAAATTGTTATTGGATTTTCTACAAATTTGCATAATTATACCCAATATACGACACGGGCAATACTGACCTTTGGATTTTAAGAGCATAAATATGAAGTGGAACCTCCAATAAATTTAAAAAAAAATATTTTTATGAAAAAACTTCAAATTTTCTTGGATAAAAACTAATGAATTCTGTTTTGGGGCCTCAGCTAACACTATTTGGGGTCCCATCATTTACGGGGCCCCGGTTAACTGAGCTTATCAACGGTACTGGTCAGAGGGAATGGAGGACGAGGTACTTGGTAACTTAATTCAAATATTATTCATGGGCCCCTTAAGTCCAAAGCCCTTGGACCCTAGTCACTGTGCCAAATGAATAAGATGGCCCTGGTGTCTTGACTTCGACTAGTTCCGTTCCAAAGGGTTGTTCGTGAGTCGGGGGAATTTAAAAAAATTCAAAATATACACTCGGTTCTCTTTTTATGCGGTTTTGAAGTTCAAGAAGCATTTTTTAAATAACTATTTTAGGCCATTTTGACACGTTTTAACACAAATTGGCAAACCATTTCATCGAAAAAGATATTTCTGAACGAGCATTCAAGATTCAACACGAGCTTCAGAATTGCATTTCTGGATATCAGGAATTGTACGAAAAATAGCAAAACCATCACAAAGTTTAATCACTTATTAAAGGGATTATCAAAGGGAAAAAATCAACATGAGAAGTTGAGACTAATTTGAGACTTGTGAAGAATCATTATTTTCAGGACATAGATATGATATGCTGACTATATTTAATAAACTTGTCAATGATTGTTAAAGTTTTTATAAAATTATGAATAAACATTTCAGAAAGAAAATACTAAGACTAATTATTTTTCTGAAATTTAATAAACCCTTTTTATGCAATTTTCGGTATATTGTGACTCATTGATTCAGTTTTATGCGGTTTTAAAAAATTAAGGAACGTACTTTATTTTTATACGTGTGTCTAGTCCTTTTTTGTGCGATTTATTTTTATGCGTTTTCCTGTGGAACGTATCTACCGTATAAAAAGAGAATCAAGTGTACTTATCTTACCACACTTTATCATGGTTTTACTTTTAAATATGTTAAATTCCGTATTACTGACTGCATACATTTGAAAAATAAATTAAAATAAACAAAATACTTATTTACAAATACTTTTCAATGTAGACATAACAATTATTTAATAATAAACGGCAAAAGAAACAAATGCAACCAAACAGATAGTATACATCTTCCAAAAATATTATATTTTATTAAAGAAATTATCAATTTTTGTTTGGACAGTTAGTTTTTTTATCATTGTATAAGCTTTTAGCATTTTGTTCGTAAGTCCGGGACTTCGTAAATTGTGAATTCATAAGTTAGGGGATACCTTTGTTACTTAAAATGATACTGAAAATAAGTTTAGTTATATTTTGATAAAAGTGACAACGAAATAATAAATCTTTCTCAAAAATAAATAAATATACATAACGATGATCAAACCAAAGATTTTATTATGTGAGCTTGTTATATTTCGAGTCATGAATTCATTAATCCGACGTTGATGTTGTTTCCCCATCAATATTTTTCGCCGTTAATTCACTTCAACGCGTCCCGCGAACAGTAATAAAATTCTAGTAGTACGATTTTATATACTAATTAATTGCTCTTCTACTCAATTAGCGTTCCAAATTTTCATTAAAACCGTATCATTAATTCACTTGTGATAGTAAACTTTTCGTACCGCGCAATTCGCACATTCACAACTCTATTAACATTATTAAATTATAATTCACAAAATTTCATCAGTTATGACTATATTAAATTATATTCTTTACTTTAAAAAAAAAACATAAAATTTAATCACATTAATTAATTATAATAAAAAACAACTATTTTTTTTTCAACATTCTACGAAAAATAAAAATAGTGAATGTAAATTCTGTCCCATATTCTAACTACGTTAAATATCAAATAACTATATACAATAAAACAACATTTGAATGCAAATGGAACTATATAATAGAAACATAAAATAACAAAACAATAGATTTTTTTTCGTAATTATGTCATGTCAGTAAAATATTCACCGAATAAAATTTTGAAATACAATGAAAAAAAAACATCAAATCCATTACGTGAGCGAATCTATTGAAACATTTCATTTACAAAAAAAAAACATTTGTTTTTTTTAAATTTAAATTTTAATAAATTAAAATATTTTTTTAGAAGATTTAGTTTATATGCTCTATTACACCTTATGTACTATGTTGAGAAGAATTTTATACAAAACGCGCCTTAAATTTTCGTGAGCATTTCGATTTGTTTTAAACAAAGAAACACTATTATAAAAAGGATATAATAAAGGGTGCATTTTTTCATGTATATATATAATCATTTATTTTAACATTATACTGAAATTATAAATAAAGAATTTATTTAGAATAAACAAAATAAACTTGTCGTGTTTAAATTAATATATAGATTCAGTACGGAAGATGTTGACTTTAGTGTAAACTTAAATACTTAGACTATTTCAATTAACATTTTTTTTTTTAAATATACATCTCTCAATGGTACATTTTAATATGCATAACAAAATATATATGTAAAAACAAAACCAAATATATAAGAATTTGAATTGCAGTATTTGACATTACGATTTTTTATTTAAATATTTGGAAATGTCCATTCTCTCAACAGATACTACACATTTTTTACCGAAACCGCTAAGATCCATCCTTATCAGTGAAACACTAACCGGTTTACAATTGGCAGCAATTAAACAGTTTAAATATTTATCGTTATGCCGCATATTCCGTTTCGGGAAATTGTACATATGAGTGCACTCTTTGTCTTTGTTAAATGTAACTTCATATTCCTTCGTTCGTGAAGTATTTGAAATGTTTCGATTCAAAAATTCGTCGGTATATTTTCGTTTGCGATTGTGCAAATAATCCGTCATCTGATACTTGTCAATCTTCATATACTTTTGTCCTACTTCCGATGAGAAGGGTATCGTTGCTTTGTAAGTTTCATTGAATTGTGGCGCATTTTCAGACTTAGTCTCAGGTACTGCAACAGTAGATGGAACAAGATTCATGGCCTTCATAAAGTATTTCTTCTGGTATATTATATCGCAGACCTTCACATAGGCAACCTTATTAAAGTTATGAGGCGTTGGAATTTCCGCTACGCATTTCCTCTTCCTCTTATAATTCATTTGCGTAGGTGGCGGTGGCATACAAAATTGAGAAAATATTCTGATTGCGCTTTGTAGGAACTGATTGTATTTCGGCGAAATAGTTTTTTTTTTCGGGCTATCAGACACAACATTAGATTTTAACTTCTCTTTAGACCAGCTACAGTATTTGCACAGCTCCTCGTTGGAGGCGTTCTGTATTTTGCTTAGGATATTTGCTAATCTTGCCAACAATTTTTCGAGGTGGATGTCTGATAGTTTGCTCAAAACGTCGTCCGTGCACTGTCCAGATAAAAGACTATTCTGAATACCCAGGATAATATCAGACATGTTGACCTGGCGAAAAACGAAATTCAATTAATATTTACTCATTTCCTATAATTATATTTATATTGAAAAAACATACAAAAAAAATTACTTTTTATAACTGATGCTGTCACAATGATCACTGTGTATCTTACGAAACGTCAAACCAATGTATACCTGATTTAGCCGCCAAAAAATCTTAATGTTGATTATAGAATCACTAAGCACTTAACGTGCATATCACTTTTTTTTTAATCACAGATTGGTCTAATTATAATTTTGTTGCAGTATTCATTAACTTTATGTTAAATTAGCACAGAACGAACACACCGTCACTACCTAGCATCCATTGATTCCTAACAGCTGTCTCAAAATGGCGGACGACGCTTGCGTATAAAAAGACACGGAGTATATACAGCACGATTCATTTAAAAATACTTATATACTACTGAATTTGATGATAACTCCCTCTATGTTCAAAGATTTCAATCTTAAATAAAGAGATGTGTACTAATCTAAAATTATATTAACGCATATTATATCATGACCACTATTATTTCAATAGTCCAATTTTATATTGAATATATAAAATTACATAATTATAACAATAATAATAATTCTTGTAACAAATGATTATTATTTAATTTAAAATATATGAAAGCATATTTATTTTATTTATTATCAATTAAGATAATTGCAGAAATGCATTTCCAAACTTTTAAATATTGCAATTTTTATAATCCCAATCTATGACCACCCACTTCATCTCCGGCCAATATATTTTTTTTTGTTTTTACTTTCGCCATATCTTCTGAATTTTAATTTTTAAATCATAAAAATATACAATGAAGATCTTGTCGCGAACATATCCCAAGGGTTTCCAAACTGTGCGCCCGGGGCGCCGAGAAAATCGAAGAAAAACTACTATTAAAATAAAGTTCGCCATAAGATAAACCAATTTTTTGAATTGAGAAGTTGAGTAAACCAAAAAAGTTTTGGTATTACAGACACACAATAGGATAGTTCAGGGGTTAACTATCCTATTATGTGTCTGTAATACATAGACATTAATTATTCCATAGTTTATAATGCCATATCTCTAAACAAAGTAATTACTAGTAATGCGCACAAGTGTGACGGATAATTAAGTTGAATCACATTGTTTGCCTTTGTTATCGCAATGCAACATGATCCTTGTGGAACAAACCTAATAAAAATATAATATTTACTTTATTTAATTGATTTGATAACATTGTATAATCAAAAGTTGAAATAGTTAAGAATACTGATATTTCTATTTTGAAGTTTGAATTATTTGTCACATTTGTGATTCTTAAAATACCTGATACCTGAAAATTATGGGTTTTCACTTTGTTCCCTAAAATGTGTCTATTGTGTGAAGGTACCCTAAAATGTGTCCATTGTGTGAAGGTATATAAATAACCCTAGACGTGGATACGAACCTTAAATTTTCCTAACATATGATACTTAAAAATAATGATAAAATATTGAAATAATTATTCAAAGTAATTAAAAAATGAAAACAATACTTAAAAAACTTAATGGTGACTTCATGCAGGGTTGACATGTATACCAACTTAAATAATATAACTATAGTAGGGATAATATAAGACAGTACCAATAATATGCATATGCTATAGTCGCCTATATCACGAAAATCAAATACGAAAAAAATGGTTCGATCCTAAAAAAACAACAAAAAATTGTGGGGCCAAAGAAAAAGAGCCAAAAAGATTTATATCAATAATAGTTGATATAAACAATTGACGAACGGTTTAATTTTAAGTTACTTACGATACTTTTTGTGATATTTTATAACTAACACATTACTGAAGAACTCAATCGGTTCGAAGTAGATTACTTTTCTTATTAAATTTTAAATTATAACCACAATTCTGAGAAGAACACAACATATCAACTGTCAACATTTTGAAGAAATACTGCCAACATTTTAAAGCTTACTGCCATCAATTTAATCACCATGTCCAACATTTATAACAACCATTGCCAACATTGCTAAGATGTTGAAACAATTGTAGTGAAATCCCTCCTACCGGGAAGACATTTTAAATCAATACTGCCAACATTTTGAAGTAATATGAATAAGTAAGTTTTAAATATTCTCTATAATGTATAATTCGTAAACGTAATTTTAAAGCGTTCAGCTGCCTACATTAATTGACACTTTTCGCAAAACTTTGCGAAGTATCTAAAGTTCTCATAAACTTAATTTTTGTATCGAATACTTCTCTATGAAACTCCTTTAAGGATTTATGCAACTTTATTCAACCAAACGGAAGCGTCAAGTGTTTAATTTTTGCATTCACTATTTTCCTTTCTGCATGTATTATTTGAAATTTGTATAAGTACTTATTTTAATAAGTTGTATAAAGTTTGATGTTCCATTCCTTTAATTTTATATTGAATGTATGTAAATTTTAATTAATAATGGCCAAACAAAAACAAAATAATTATAAGAAATACAATATAATATGTGTCCTTAATTCACATGAGGTCATAGAGCGTTAAAATTAATTTAATAAGTTGTAGATGTTCATAAATTAAATAAAACTAGTAAAAGCGAATGTATTCGAATTGTATTTCTATAACTAATAAGTAAACACGTTGATGCTGTTGAGATGTTGAATTGTGTTAAGAGGAATGTAATGTAGGATACTTTAGGAGTTTGCTGCAAGGATGTTTTCAGAGAAGAGTATATTTCGTTAAAGGAGAAAGCACGTATATAACAATAGTTGTCTGGGTCGTCGTTTTTTTACTTATTCCGGTTGCAGTCGGCGGTGATCGAGTTGTCGTTCTCCAGGGACGTCGCGACGCCATAAATTGCGGGTCGCGGATAAAAAGAATCGCGAGGGCGGATTTAGGGCTTTTTGCACCTGTGGCATTCGCGTTAATGCAATAATCGCGTGTTGTATACGATCGCGACGAGGAAAATGTAATGGAAAAAAGCAACCTGTAAATATTGAACTAGCAAATAGGAGGTGGTGGTCTGGTTTCTGTTGATTTTTCTAGAAATTTATGTGTCACATGTAGAGAAGAGGTAAAGTTCCATCCCAGCAGGAAAAATCCTACTGAAATGAGCCAAAAATATATTTGCAACCTCACATTAATCTTGTATCATGCAGAGATCCTATGTTCTTAGGATTGTTTCGCGACGATAAGCTGTTAAGCATGCAAAGAATAGATGCAGGACTCGTCGAGCATATCTTTCATTTCAATTTTTTAAAGTGCCCGGCCGATGATGATTCTTATTTTACGTCGAAGAAGGTTTCCATGTGAAACTTCCTCTCATCCACAGCAAATGGAATGCACGATCACAATATCCTTCCACCTCGTTGTTTTCCATTTCACTCCACAACAGTTTCCTTCATCCATTCGCTGTTGCGCAAAATAAAACTTTTATAATAACTTCGTTCATGTTAAAAGCGACGCGGCGCCAACCAAAACTTAAAATCGTTCGTAGCAGGAATTAGGAATGGGAAAAACGGAGCGAATACATTCCTTCCAACTATTTGACCTGTACCCCAGAAACTGCAGCTCGAAGAAAAGGATTTGCGGCCGATCGCACGGACGAAATGAAAATGTAATTTTAATGGTTCCACCTTCTGTTCCAGCCTGCATTAAAGTAGTCTAGCCTTAATGAGTTGAACACGGGGGTTGGGAAATGTTTAAATTATATTCCGAGCTCTAGGTTTCCTAGCAGTAATTTACTCTCGTATTTTATATATTTCGTTTCGGATTCTGGGCACGTAAACCAACTGCTGCTGCATATGCTGACAATTGATTCATTTTCCTTCTGGGACCGAAAAAAAATGAAATTCGCAGAATATAAAATATAACGAAAGCATAAATCGCGCAAATTTAAACTACTCCCAACATTCTCACTCATTCCCTCCAATTTTTATTTATAAACAAAATCCCAGCGAAAACATAAACTTCCAACAGTATTTACTTGTATTATGTAATCCGCCTTTTAATTTCACGCCGACGATAATAATGTTATGGCGCGAAAAAAATAAAATTAAAATTAGGAAGGAGGGAAAAAATATTAATAAACCGAGGGGAAAACAAATAAATTTTGGCGGGTTTGGAAATTAGCCGCAGGGGTGCAATTATATAAGGGCGCTTTACCAGTGAGCGACCATAAATTCGGATTATTAATTTCTGTTCTCTCTCTCTTTTTTTTCTCTCACACCAGCGCGGATTTCACCTAAACTTTTATTTGCGCATATAACAATAAAAAAATATCGCGCTGCTAATGCAGTTTTCGCGTTTATTACGATTTCTTGGCACTAAACGAATCCCAATAATTGCAATAAAATGTTTTCATCAAGTAATCGATAATATCAAAGCATTTGACGGAAATCGACAGGAAACAGTGTTTTTATTACATTTGGTAATGGAAATAAAAACGCGCTCGTTGCGGAGCCTGAACTAATTATTTTGTTAGTAATTTTTTTTTTGGCTTTATACTTGGGAACATCAATAAATAAAATAAATTAGTTTAGTTTTAATTGATTTAACATTTTCAATTGCAGCAAAATAATTTGCACAAAATGTAAATCAATAAAATAAATTATCTATATAAAATTCAAAAACTTATTTTATTAAATTGAAATATTAAATTCAACTCAAATCGGGTCTCTTTCAATATTAGATATATTTAAGTTAAAAACTATCTTATTTTTAATCAAAATTTACTTTAAATATAGCCTGAACACTGAACAAAATATTTGAGTACATCTTTTGGATTACCTATCTTCGACCATTAAACATTTTTTATAGGTAGGTAAAATCTATTAATATCCACAATATTTATTATGTTGTAATGCAGTTCGCAACCTGTTTTACCCAAAGCCTTTATAATATTCGTTTAAACTCCATCCATCAGCCAAGGAAACTAAAACGTTGTACAATCCTACAATAACAAAACATAAATAAGTCTTAATTATTAACAATTAATGAACATTGAAGACATTCCTTAATTAAAGTCTTGTCCTGTTCTTGGATTAAGAAATCTCTGGACACTGGATTATCTCGTAGTTATGTCGTTGTTGAATCTTAGAGGGATTTATGAATATTAAATGCAATATTCCTAATTAGTTTTATTGTACATATCAGTGTTTTTATTGAGAAGTCAACTATACAACTGTTGATCTCATGGATTATTAACTAAGGGTTACATTCTCCTCTTGAGTTAATAATTATGAAGTAAGTGCTCTTCCCTCGACTCTCCAAGTAAGACCATGTTCACACTTCATCCCTCCAACTAAGACTATTTTCTCTCTTCGGCCGTCTAACTAATACTAAATTATATAATACAAAAATGTATCCATTTTAATAAAGTTTGCCAGTTTTGACCTTGTGGAAAATGTAATCATTTCTTTATCTAAGTTTTATGGTCTACAACTATACGATTTAACCGTTTTTCGGAATATTCCATAAGTTATTCTAAATAATCACGAACAAGTATCCGTTTGTATATTTGATGGATACGTGAAATATGCTTTGAAATAATTAAGAGGAAAGTGGTAGACCTAACAAATATACATATTAATTATACAGTAGATGATAATAAATTGGTCGGCCACGACAGTTTATTAAAGTGTTAAACAAAACATCTTTCATGATTACTAACTTGAAAGTTTTGCAATTAATAATCCTTACCGATCATCAGTTCTTTCTTATCCATTAGACATTTTATTCTAGGGCCCACGAGAAAAAAAAATGAATTTGTTTTTAAGGAGATTCCATCGGATAGTAATATTTAATTCAATACCTTGATTGTAGAATAATAATTTATTATGGTCATACTATTTAGTCACATATTTTTTTCTTTTAAACAGAAAACGTTAACACACAAAAATTATCTGAATTATCTATTGGTATTTTGTGGAAAAAATCAAGTAAAATCACAAAACTTGTCCAAAGTTATGGTAAATCTAAATTTTAAATTGAGGAATGATACACGTTTGAGAATTATTGATGAATTATATATGATGAAAACTATAAAAGACCTATCAGCTTTTATAGTTTTCATCACGAACGAATTATGTCACGAAAGTAACGTCAATCGCCTTTTAAAGTTATTCAAATATTTGTTATTTGTCCAATCATAAAAATCTTTGGCGAAAATATAGATCACACATTGTATTTCATTCTTTCTAAGAAAATGTGAATTTTAAATGATGTACTGACATTACGAATTAATTTGAAATATTTCTGGTTATCAGAAATAAAAATTACATTTATCTGCAATTAAAATGTAAGTATATTTTCTCTTTTATGGCGTTAATAGTTCGTCCCAATTAACCCAGTAAACGCGTGTTAATATCTGCGTGTATAATTTAGCAACCAGTTTAGGAACACTCTATCACACCTTATCTGCTCAATTGCGCGATGCAAATCATCCCTAGTAAATCAACCCAGTTATCATAATTTACTAATAAAAGATCTTATCTATTTGCCATTATTTAAACAACTATTATATTTCATTATTATTTACCAATTTTATTATACTTTTTTACCTAATGCATGAAATTTATATATATTTTTTTATAAATTAATTGATTTTTCTAAAACACGAGTTGTTAATTGCAGATTGACTGCAAATTTCGACAACTGCTTCACTAAAATCGAACATCCATTATTTAGCTCTTCCCACGCTCGCAACGAAAATTAATTCACTCCACTTAATTAAGGAATTTTGATTAATTACATTTAAATTCTTTAGAACTTCTGCGCGCTTTGTTCTTAACTCAATTGATATTTAATTTAAATTGATGCGAATGTAATGACAGTGTACAGATAAGATTGCCAATTCACTTTATTAAGATTGCTAATTTACGCTCCACTCGCAGTTGATGCTACATTACACCCCAAAAAGATTAACAGACCGATTTATATATAAAACCCGAAACCGTTATTACGTTGCTGTTTATTGCGCTGTCCTCCACTCATAAATCGCCCGGAAAATCCTTATCCTTTTAAAAACTTACAACCGTAACCATCACCGACGTATACTCCGTGAACCATTCATTCTTTATATTCTGAAGCATGCATTTCCAAGACCCTTAATAGCATAATAAATATTGTACAATGTGTGTATATTTTTTTATTTATAAATTTAAATTACTGACTTTTGCAAGAGATTTTTAACAATCATTGAAAATTGAACGTAATATCATCACCAACGGTTTGTTATAACATCAATTCGATCAAATAAATTCAATTAAAATATTTGACATGATGAACTAATCCAGATTTAAATCTGCAGGAAAATGTTATTGAAAATAAATCACGTTTGATATAAATTCTGATGAAATAAATATAATGGATTTCAAATAAATAAAATAAAACATTTTCAATAAATGAAAATAATATAAGTTTATTAATAAATAATAATATTATTTATTTACATAATTATTAAAGATCTTTTTATTAATTATTACCCATTGTTCTGTTTACTCTTTGTTTCAGTTCTGGGCAGCCTACGTCCCTTGCGATGCGCAGTATAAGGATGCCGTGCAATTAACTCTTGAGCAAATAGATATCATTCGGAGGTTCACGGATCTCTACAAACCATCATTGACGTTGTGTACTTCGGCAGAAGGTATTTTCAATTTTTTTTGTAATTAAAGCCGCAGGTATCACGAATGGTTGACTTTGAAATTCAGACCGGAATAAGCTCCAGTAGGTGGCAGAAATACAGCAGCAATGATTATACAAAAACAATACGCATACATCGAAAACGTTATTTGCGCACAACATAAATTTAAACTTTAATTACGCTTAGTAACGTATTTATTTATTACTAGGTCAGCGAAAATGCATGAACTTCTGGTTATTTATTGCCAATTGTGTATGGAAATATTATACAAAATACATACTCATTCCAGTTTCAAAATAAGTAATCGATTTAGGAATTTTATTTGTTCCAAAATAAGTATCGAATTTCATAACAAAATATGCAAAGGAAATTATAACGTGTATTTTCACAACTAGACAAAAACATACAATGGAAAACCTTTGAAAAATAAACACTTATAAGTAACATTTAACAAATTAGTAATTATAAACGGACAAGTTCTCTGCAAACGCAAATCCTTGATAGATCAGCGGTTTCCAAACTGGGAGGCGCGGACTCTTGCCAGGGGAGGCGCCAAAATTTTTTAATAAATTGATTTTGATACCATAATATCTTCAAATAATTAAAACGTGTCTATATGTTTTAATCTATTATAACAATAAAAGGTAAGGGAGGCGCGGAAAAAAAAAATTCGGGGAGGAGCGGAAAAAAAAATTGTTTTCGGGGAGGCGTAGTAGCATAAAGTTTGGAAACCGCTGGTCTAGATTTTCTGTAGTTATTTAGTACCATGATTTATACACGATCGCAATGAGTGCATCAATACTGGACGAGGACTCTTTGTGTTGTAAATAGCGCTAAAGAAACCCAAATCGAGGACTTATAAATCATGGTTATTTGGTGGTTGACAAATTATTCTTATGTTCCACTCATTTTCATTTTCAGGTAAATAACTTCCTCATCATCAAAACTGCAATGTAGTTTAGAATTATCTTGCTGGATTTTGATTGATATGATTCTACTACAAATAGGTCATTTTCTTTTATCGCGGGAATTATTTTTTCTGTAATTCTTCAAAGTTTTTACAATAACGACCGTAATAATTAACTTTACACAAATTGTCAGCGGGTAAAAAAGCAAACAAACAATTGTTACAACATTTTACCTGTTCACTACAGAAGCTATTTTGAAAAATGTATACTTAATTTAAATAAATAACTACTGATACATTTAATTTCATTATTAATCCATTAAAAAACAAAAATCGGACACTTACATTGGAACGTAGAGAGTATTATTTATTTATATTATTTTTCTTTTTAAAGTATTGAATGACTTTGCTTTTTTTTGTGATGTTACTTCGGGTGTTGATAATGTAATCAAACTTTATGGACAGCAGGTGGTGACTATTATGTAGTTAATGTTTCGCAGCTTCTAGAGGTAACGTAATGTACGATAAGGTTACGCAAGGGATGTAGATAAATGGCACTTTAGCAAAACGAAGGTGGTTTGGTGTACTGGCAAGTTTTATCACTGTATCGGACGATGGTTTAAGTATCTTCTTGGGGTATAGTAAGTAAATAGCTAAACTTGCCTATAATACTATAGGAATTATATAGTGAAACTTTAGTAATTTTGTATTAAGGTTATAAAACCAAAAACTTATACTATTATAGTATAATTTCTTTAGGCGTTCTACAAATTAAATATAAAAATATAAGTAATGTATTCTTGTAAATACAAGAATGTTCAAATAACTAATATTATCTAATTTATTTGATTTAAATTTCATTTACTTTGATGACTAGATAGAGAAATTGCGGCTCTCAGTTCTTGGAGTGGAAATATTGAAAAATTATGTTCACTAGTAAAAATAGCAATTACGTGCGGCTTCCTAGACTTATTTTTAACAGACAATGGTTCTTTGCTCCACAAAATTCGTTGTGATATACCATAGGTAAAGATATAACTAATGTTCATAAACATTACAAAACAATCGATTCTTTAAAATTTCAAGATATACAAAATTAATATTTGAAACACGTATGCCTCACTGGTAAGAGATTTAATTAAATAAGTGACAAGTAATTTGTAATAATAATAAACAAGTCAATAAATATTACTAGAATTATCCAATTTTAAAATTACTTATTTACTAATTTTGTTGGTTATAAATTAATTATAGAAAGCATCGAAAATTTAAAATACAACAATTTTTGTGTGTTAATTTTGGTATTTATTTTGTTTTCAGAAATAAAAACAGCTTATAGCAAAAATCAAATTTGTTCCCTGATTGGTGTCGAGGGTGGTCATTCTCTGGCTGGTAGTTTGGCAGTTCTGCGATCGTTTTACCATATCGGGGTGCGTTATTTAACATTAACATCGACGTGTAACACTCCATGGTAAGATTGATTTTTTTAAGTTAATGAAGGAGATATTGAAAATATTGGTTTTGGTTTCAGGGCTGATTGTTCGATCACAGACTTACCAGGCAAGAAACCAGAGCACGGTGGATTAAGCAGCTTCGGAAAGGTAAATGCCTCGTGGATGTATTCAATGCAATTTCTATCAAATAATACATTGAACATCATACAGTCCGTTCCTGATTGATCACATGCATTATGTGTTTGCTCTTTATAGCCGTTGCACATAATGTACGAGCATGCACGTATAGCTTGTAAATAGCCTCAGTACATACGTGTATAAAACGTATTTATGTTCGGACACACATATAAAGTTGATTAATTACATTTGCAGATGCGGTTTTCGCGTTGATTTAAATTGTATCCGACTAAATACGTTCCCCACTTTTTTTGGCCCACTGACGTTCCCAAAAACCGCTGTTCTAAAATACGCTTCATTATGTTATACAGCGTAGAGCTTCCTAGTTGAATGTACGTATTGTACGGGACTAACGAGAATTTTGTTATTCTGCCATTATATTGAAACGACCGGAAGCTGCAAAGAGGATGTAACCATTAACGGAAGATACGTTACAACATTCAATACGAACGTGTTTCAGAAATGTGTGAAATGCATTCGTTATTATCCAGGGGTTAATATTTATCTAGCCATAACTATTTATTCAAATGCACGAAATTTGCTAAACTTAGTTAAGACAAACTAAACTATATTGTGATATATGCTGGAGGGTTGTGTGCACATACATCAACCCTCTTAGAGACTGAGCAGAGGATAGTTTTCCGGTCTTATGGGAAGGCCACTTATGTTTGCTAATTAAAACAAAGGACTAAGCAAGTGTTGGGCCGTTCTTGGAGGGGCAACAACTCTCTTGAATCCAAACACTTCACGAACTAATCGTGCAATTTATCATCGCAGCTTTGCATACGGAAATATCTTAATGCAATCGATTCAAACATATTTATGTTAAATTCAGCAAACGTACGATTCCATTAAGTTTTTGGTAATCTGCATCGATTTTGTAATTTGAATTCATTTTATTTATTCAGATTCACGCTTCATTTATTACCTTTAGAAATGATTATCAAAATGGGTTATATTTACCGTCGGTATTATCTAGCGAATTAATAACATACAGGTAGCAAAGTCAAGAATTGTGGTCAGGGCAATCGCTTTTCCATTAGTCGAACAATGGAACTCAATCATAGCCTTTGTAAATTTACTATGTACCGACGCGTTGCTTTTGTTTAAAAGTGTTATTCTGTGTTATTCCCTTTGTGTGATTTTCGCCGTCTTAAAAATTCCACACAAATCACGTATCCTACGGCAGTGGGCACTATCTACCCCTTCGGCCACACGTATCTCGCTCGCTATAATTCAATCAGGGCGAGACAATGGAAGGGTCACTCTGTCCTCAACGACACTCTCAGAAATGTACATTACATACGACCACCCCACAGACAAACACAAATACAACAATGCAGTGCCAAAGGCTCTTTAATTCAATTTGCAGATGGAAATCATTTTTCTAACTCACTTTAGTAAACAACAATGAAACATATCCAGTTCTCAATTTCCATTAACTGATAATGAAATATCTATATACTAATATATTTAAAGCCTCGATTTTCAGACTTTTACAAGATCAATACAATATATTTTTATATACTAAATAATATACGTTTCAAACACGAAAATTAAATAGTTATAATACATACAACGCATTTCTAAATGTTCTTAACCATTAACATAACTAAATACAGAAAATATGTTATGTAAAATAATATATTTTTTTTATAATATCTATAGTGAAATTAAAAAAAAATTGAAAAGTCTAAGCAATTTTTATTATAAAGAAAACATGTAAAACTTAAATAGTTAATTGGTATAAAAAATCATATTAATCAAAATTTTCAATGATTATTAACCTTTAACATTAACAAACCAATTAAAAATAATAATGCGTTAATTAGGTTTTTTTTATAAGATTTTTATGTTTTTTTCTTGTGTTACAACGATAATACGTTATAAAAAAACTATTTAATTAGTATAAAATCCATAAAGAAAGGCATTTTGTATGAAGAATATCTTTTAACATTATATATATAAATAAATAAAGTACTCCTTGTGGACCGAAAGAAAATTGTCTAAACTTTAGAAGTGAAGAAGCTTTTATGGAGGTGGCCTGTAACAGCTTCTTGAGTTTACTTTTATAACCTTCTTTATTTGTCCCTTTGATGTGTTGCCGGTTGACTGGTTCGAGCCACTCCAAAAATGGTATTAACATAAATTATATAGTAACTTGAAAAAAAAATCATGAATCCGATAAAATTGACTTACAAAATTATTAAATTATATTTAGTTTATATTATAAAGAAAAAAAAGTAGTTAGTTTACATTAAGAAATGGATTCTACAATAATAATTTATATGTTTGCTGGTTGGAACGTTTAACTGGAGTAGAAATAAGAATCACATCCATTCAACGCGCGATAACAAAGGATTTGTGATCCTACAACTTTATCAAACATTATAACAGTGGACGCTTTTCTCGAATGAAAACCAAACAATATGAAATAATAATAATATTTATTTAGTACGTACGTCATTCTGTCGAACAGCAGCTCTTTTCTGCCCTTAAACGCTAAAATATAAGACATATCTTATCCTGAAGACTATAGACTATAGACTATATTTATTTGGAATCTGTAGTAAAGAGGCACGATTTATTAGCATGTGTTTTAATAAATTAAAGTATAAATTATCAACAGCAATTCTTTATTCGACCAACTATAAGAAAGTACATTAAGAATGCACATAAAGTATAAAAATCTCAAGAAAGTACACTTATATCAATCAAATGCATACCCACAATTAATCTTAGCTATTTGAAACGTCCTCACGGTTTTTATTAAGCTAGAATTGTATAATTTAATCGTCATTTTCGTAAAAATTATTATATAATTTCACGAATTACATATTAAAGTTTGAGATCTTTGTTCGAACAAGAATTTAATATTCTTTAGTAATAAAATGTATCTTTATTGTATCAAGTTTAGAAACTATATACAAAGGTTCATTTTTAATAAGGTTCCCTTTTGTCGTTACCTTCTTTGGGGACCTCTTTCCATCATCGTTCCTTTGAAATACGTGCTCGATTGTTCCGCAACGTTTCTCTCTTTTTTTCTGGTCGACCAAGAGAAAATATCTGTTGACTCATCAAACCCATTTCCCGAAAGGCCTCGACATGATTTATTTCGATTTATTAGGATAATAGATTGTCCAATAATCTTCCTACATGATTAGTCATGATTAATAACATATTTACTAATTTAATTCATTCATTTTATTTCAATATAATACTTATAACAATACATAAATGTTGAAGTCAATAAATAAAAATTTCTTTGTGATAATATTTCCTTATAATATCCAAATATTTAAATTAATACAAACATGATGTTTACTTGAATTTCAGATTGAAATGAATCTGAGCCAATAATATTATCATCCTGTAGCATATTGATTCCATATAAATGATGTTTTTTGTCTGGTGAATTGTAATTTGATGTGATTTATTGATTTGGTATTAGACGGTCGTGAAAGAGATGAATCGCCTGGGAATGATAGTGGACCTATCACACGTCTCATTGCGCACCATGCGAGATGCTCTTGCGGTGTCCAAAGCCCCGGTAATCTTCAGCCACTCCTCGGCCCATTCACTTTGCAATTCAACAAGAAATATCCCCGACTCGACGTTGAGGAAACTGGCACTTAACAAAGGCATAGTGATGGTCAGCTTTTACTCAAAGTTTCTAACTTGCACGGATTCTGCCACAGTATCGGATGCAGTAGGTGAGTGTCGTCCACTAACTACAGTAAATACAATCTCATTCATTAGTATTTACATGGTAATTAGCGGTGTATAAAGCAATGTAAAATGACTTTATTAACAGTGTTTCCGTGTTGCATATATGTACATGTTCTCTACTCACTTTTTTTTGTATGCAGCGCACATAAATCATATAAGGGATGTGGCCGGAGTGGATAACGTCGGGCTTGGGGCTGGATACGACGGGATAAACTTGTGAGTTTCATTATTAATTCACATTAAGCCGAAACATTTTTGCCTGCAACAAAAAGTACAAACAAACCTTTAATCTGATAGACCTTATAGTCCTAATTAGGAAATGTAATGTTGTGCTAATATCTTCCTGTTGCAGCGTTCCTCAAGGTTTGGAGGACGTCGCTTCGTATCCCACATTGTTCGCCGAATTAATTGGATCCGGGAAATGGACCGTGGATGATCTCAAGAAGTTAGCCGGATTGAATTTCTTGAGGGTGATGCAAGAGGTGGAGAAAGTGCGCGACGAATTTGGAAAAGCTAAAGTACCGCCGTACGAAGACGTTTTGCTACCTAGGCCGAAGGAGAACAACTGCTCTTCAGTTGACAATTAGACTGATTTAACAACAAATATATATAAATATAAAAAAGGAAATTTTAAATTCATGACAAAGGCTTTATTCATAGGCAACAAAATTTAACCAAGGTGCTAAAATTAATTAGTTTCATGTAGACACCCTCTAAACCTGTTCATGTGTTCATACAAGAATTTCCTCCCCCTACTCTACTATGTGACTGATTACGAGATCTTGACGGCGAAACTTGGGCTACTTTTGGCTGCAGCCACAAATTAAAGTAAGATTAATTAACTGCTATGCATAAACAATTGAAACGGAATTAATGAAAAAGAAACGGACTTTAAATGTGACGCAGCGTGAAAAACGAGCGACACAATTAAAGCCCACTTAATCTAATTTAGCTTAAATTATAAATGATTTGTAAATAATATCGGGGGCTCTCATCTACCGAATGAAGTATTCTACTGTTCTGTTGCGCCCCTCCAACTTGTAGATAGATCATATATAAATATAAACAATAAGGATATTAGAAATATTTTACCTATATTGAACATATAAAGAAAAAAAATATAATATTAATATTAACAAATAAAAAAAATATATTATAAAGTTTTTTAAAATGAGAGAAAATGGGAACAATTTCTTACCATTTTTTAAATTTTTCGTATTTAATATACATTAAAGTAAATTTCGACCCTTAACATATCATAGGTATAGGCTACCCTAAAGCAATACTAAGGAGATTGGAAGCAGACTTAAATTAATTTAAACAAAAAAATAAACATAAAATGGATGAATGTAAAGTATCGTCGGCTCGAAGCCTTCGAATATGTATATGAAGGGTGAACAGTAAATTATATATGATACATTGTTTTTTATTTTTGTTTATATTAAAGATTTATGTGTGTTGAATTGTACAAATGACAAATTGATGTTAAATTTTAATTAGTTTTCATTTAAAGTAATACAATTTTTAATAAAAATATAATAGTAATTTGTGTATATAAAATCCATGAATCCCATAATATTAATTATTTGAGGTAAGTTTATATATTTTTGTTAAATGCATATATAATCACTTTCAATGAAATACACTTTTGTATCCTATATCTTCAAGAGGAATTGAATCTGACACCAATCATTTGATATGACCCATTTTTTTTTCTAACGACGATTGAAATGTCACCTTTGTACAAAAGACAATTGGTTTTTAACAATTCTCAGATATGTATGCATCGCCAATGGTACTTGACAAAAATCGGCACATACTTTCCGGATAACCCAATATGTAAAGAGAAAAATATTCCATTATTTTTTTGTGTATCAATATGTTTGTCTGTGCCTCTAACAGTGTCCCCACATCCGGTATTTGTGTGTCACGGCTATTTGAAACATTATTTTTTTTTAGCTTTTTTGTTGTTTTTGTAATGCGTTTATGTTTTCCTTTGTTGTGTTTTATTTTTCACATATAATAAGTGGGCAACTAATAGCCAAATAGTTAAGTCGCCCTACCCACGATCGATCCGGCTCTGGTTCGAATCCTGGTTAAGCCAGGCCCTTTGCAAGTCCTCTCGGTGCTTGTAGTCAAATGAATGAGGTTCAGCATATGAACCTTCAGCCAAGTCGATGGACAATGACAGTGTTAAGGATAGCAGCAACAGTCAAAGGAAATAGAAAAATCGCAGAGCATCAATATATTACTGAAGTTGACCTACAAGACGACAGCCAAACAAAAAATTAAAAAAAAAAACAAAATCATCATAATGGTAACTTGTCGTGGATAACACCGTGGATTATCTCGTAGTTACATCGTTGCGGAGTCTTAGAGGGGTTTATGAATATTAAATGCAATATTCTTAATTAACTTTATTGTAACATCGGAGTTTTATTGAGAAGTCAACTATACAATAGTTGATCTCATGGTATTATTAACTAAGAGTTACATTCTCCTCTTAAGTTAGTTTTATGAAGTAAGTGCTCTTCCTTGGACTCTCCAAGTAAGACCAACTTCTCAGTTCGACCCCTTAGCTAAGACTAAATTATATAATACAAAAATGTGTTCATTTCAAAAAGGTGCTGCGTGGGAGGTAAGGGTTTGACGTTGTAGAAAACACAACCGTTTCTTTATCTAATTTTTATGATCCTGCCCAAATATTTAGGTGCTGCAGAAGGCTGTTAAGTGGTGATGCAATAGACGCAACTATACGATTTAATGTGTAACCGTCGTTCGGAACATTCCACAACATATTCTAAATCATCACATACAAGTATCCGTTTGTATATTTGATGGATACATTAAATATGATTTGTAATAATTAAGAGGAAAGTCATGGCCCTAACAAATATACATATTAGTTATACAATAGATGACAATAAATTGGTCGGCCACGACAAACTATCCACCGGGAAAGATTACCTACGTAATGTCAACCGCGATCTTAAATTTACTCAATGATGAACATATTGATGAACAGATTGTGAATAAAATTATACGAAAAAAAATAATTAGTTAGTACTGAAAAATCAATCATAGCTTCAAACTATTGTTTATTATCAACAACACATATGTGCAAGTCTTGGACCCTGGGCGAGAACAGCCCCTCTACTCTTGGTCCGGCATTGATCCATCGAAGTTAGTCGGGTTGTGATGTTCATAAAACTAATTCTTTTCAAACTTAAAAATTGTTGAAAACTACATCTTGAAAAATAAATACTTTGTCACAAATTCAGATGAACTAAAAATATTTCTGATTCTAATTAAAATACTAGGGAAGCTACACGTAAAATATTTGGGGGGTCGTAAAAAAATAAAAAAATATTCGAGAGGTAGCATAAACTTTTTATGTCAGAAAGGGGGTAACGGATATAAAAGTTTGAGAATCACTGGGCTACGCAATACATACATGAAAATACCGCATGATATAAAGAAAAAGTTGGACATACGGTAATTATGATGAAGAATACGTATAACTTAGTATGATGATTAGTATTTGAATATCAATTAATTTCAGCAAATAACAAATGTTTTAAAGTAACAAATTAGATTTTGGGCGTTTTAGGAGAATATTAAAAAAAAACACGCAGACTTGACCAGTAGACTGGAAATGATATGCTCTCTTCATGTACTTTTTATAAATAAAAATAACTGTCTTTTTTAAGACCAGTGACTTTTGATAGCGTTCTCTGTGTAATCAACTGAAATCATATAACGTTTTTAGGTCTCGTGCTATGGGAATGCGTGAAAGTTGTAATCAATTTTTATATATTCAATATATACAAAATATTTTTTATATCATATAACATATAGTTAAATAAATTAAATCTTCACTATGTGGATTAGAAACTATATTCAAATTAGTAACAAATTAACATTTTTTAAAATAATGAATAAATTTACTTTCAATTGAATATATCTAATTGTTCATTAATTATCTTATTCATTTCTATTATTCCTTTGAAATTACAAAATTGTTTTATAACTACTTTTCAAAATATTATATTCTAATACAGGTATTTACTTACGAACTTCCGGACTTACGAACAAAATTCTAAAAGCTCTAACTTCTTACAGGGAGATATATAGTGATAAAAAATTAACTGTCTAAACAAACATTGATAATTTCTATGTTTGCATTGGTTTTGTAATTTTTTATTAAATAATTGTGAAGTCTACATTGATCTATTTTTTTCAAAATTTATGCAGTCAGTAATACGGAATTTAACATATATAAAAGTAAAAACCATGATAAAGTGTGGTTAGATAAGTATAAATTAAAATTTTTAAAATTCCCCCGACTTACGAATAACCCTTTGAAACGGAACTAGTTTGTATGTCGGGCGATACCTGTATTTTGAATGCTTGTATCCGTACTTTTATGTTATGCAACTTAATGTACTCCCGCGCTCTGAGGAACACACGTGTATATAACCACTATATATTTAAATGTCAACTTTAGCCTGTACATGCAATTTGAGGTTATAATTGTGTAATTTATTGTTTAGCTTGTTACAAATAATATAGAATAAAATGTTGCGATATCTGACAAAACTCAATACGAATATACCAAAACGACTCACCAATAGATTGTTTCATTCAACCACAGGATGTCATCAAACTATAGGTAATTCCTAACTTTAAAAAAAAAAATGTTTTTTTTTTAATTGTTAACAAAGGTTATACAATGTTTCTAATGATAATTTTTATTTATAAACAATGAAAGTTGTAAATAACATCATAATTGTTCACTGTTAAAATATAGATTCCAAGGTTGATGATGGAAATCTTATTGGTCGTCCTATATATTTAGATGCCCAAGCTACAACACCCTTGGTAAGAATTGGTTTTTGATGTTGAAAATAAACAAAATAATTATAATTGATTTATTTTCAATAGGACCCAAGGGTGTTAGATTCAATGCTACCTTATTTAACATCTTATTATGGGAATCCACATTCAAGAACTCATACCTATGGTTGGGAGACTGAGAAGGCAGTTGAAGTGGCTCGAGAACAAATTGCCAATTTAATTGGAGCAGATCCGAAAGAAATTATTTTTACTTCAGGGGCTACTGAGAGTAATAATATTGCTGTGAAAGGTGTTGGCAGATTTTATGCATCAAAGAAGAAACATGTTATTACTACTCAAACTGTAACTATTATAATTGTAATTATTGTTATTATGTTTGAAATTCCGTTGTTTTAGGAGCATAAATGTGTTTTGGATTCTTGTCGCGCTCTCGAGGGTGAGGGTTTCACTGTTACGTATCTCCCGGTAGGTGAAAACGGTCTTATCAGTTTGGAAGAGTTAGAAAAAGCGATGACTGAAGAAACTTCGTTGGTTTCCATTATGACTGTGAACAATGAGATTGGCGTGAGGCAGCCTATGGAGGAAATCGGTAAATTATGTAAAGCCAAGAAGATATTCTTCCACACTGATGCGGCTCAGGCTATCGGCAAAATACCAATTGACGTGCAGAGTATGAATATTGACTTGATGTCTATTAGTGGACACAAGATTTACGGACCCAAAGGTAAACTATATAGTATAAATAACTTATGTAAACATTTTAATGTCTAAATCATAGGTATTGGTGCTCTTTACGTTCGTCGTAAACCCAGAGTACGTATCGAAGCTTTGCAAAGTGGCGGAGGACAGGAACGTGGTTTGAGGAGCGGAACGGTGCCTGCTCCTTTGGCTGTTGGTATAGGAATGGCATGTGATATCGCCAATCGCGAAATGGAATATGATCATAAGTGGATGGAAACGTTAAGTCAAAGGCTAATGGATAGGATATACAGCAAACTGACACACGTTATTAGAAACGGCGATCCCGTTCATTCCTATCCCGGATGCATTAACTTATCATTCGCTTATGTTGAAGGTATTACTTAGTCAATATTCGAAGTATCGTTATTTTGAAATTAACATTTACAGGCGAATCTTTGCTAATGGCTTTAAAGGATGTTGCTTTATCCAGCGGATCTGCTTGCACTTCAGCATCTCTCGAACCATCTTACGTTTTAAGAGCTATAGGTGCAGATGAAGATTTGGCTCATAGTTCCATCAGGTATTTTATTTAAATTAACGAATGATTTGAACAGATTTTGAAATATTACGTTATTACAGATTTGGTATGGGACGTTTTACAACGCTCGACGAAATTGATTATGCAGCTGATAAGTGCATAAAACATGTAACGAGGCTTCGCGAAATGAGTCCATTGTGGGAAATGGTTCAAGAGGGAATTGATTTAAAAACAATTCAGTGGTCTCAGCACTAACAAAATTCGCTTTGAAAGTAAACTTTTAAATGTTTATTCTATTTATTTTTAATACATTGTTTTTTTTTGTTATAAATGATATTGGATATACAAAGTTAACAATATAATAATATTTTAGAATTTAAATAATTTATTTGACCTCGACTTATTTGTTGTTCGACCTTTACATTTTATTATTCGATAAATCAAAAGTGAAAACTAATTTACAACATAATATATGCACATCTGCATGACGTGTAGATTCTCGTGATTTTTATGAATATTAGTAAAATTGTATTGGTATAATTAAATGTAATCTTAGAATAAAACTTTTATGATGGATTTGATCTATAAATTAGTTCTCGGGAAAGAGTTCTTCCAGAGAGAATGTTTTGAATACATGCGAGGCAAATGGGAATACGAAAGAGGCAACGACTTCCTTCACCAGAGGCAGCAGTTCTTGTAAAAAGTCTTTCGAGTTGTCGTTGATAATTTGATTCGTCGTTTTCGTCAATTGTTCGTTTTTACCAAACAGGTTATTGAAGTTGAAACGTATATTACCAATGTCTAAGTCGATGGTATTATTATCGAAAATAAAATAATTCTTGTTGTTCTTTACTTTTCTGAATCCGTTCATCTGAGCAGTCGCTGTTAAATCGGCTACGGAAACAATCATATTTAGTACAAAGTATTGTAGAAGCATTTACTTACTAATATCAGCAGTGGCAGTTCCTTCGCCTCTCAATTCCAAAATAAGAATTCTCCCACCAATCGTGTAATCTGCCAAGATGTTTAATACTGGGAAATTAATGACGAATGTCAAAGTTGGCTTCTCGAAATCAAAGTTAACTGCTTTAACTTTATACTGTGTAGCATTATAAACGGAAGCGTTAAGGAACGACGCACGGAAGTTACTTTGTTCTAAGGTGGTTTCTGCTAAGAACAGAGGATCGAGTGCAGGAATTTTCATTTCTGGAATTCCTTTGCCCAAATGTGATCTCAATATTTCGAAATTATCGAACAGACATTTTTCTATATCCGGACCATTTCTTTGACATAGATGAATGTAGGATGCTGAAAAATAAAGAGAAAGTTTTAATTTGTCGTATTGCGATTTGTCATCTTACGGATTGAGTCTGCTGCAACTGCACTGATTAAGAACAACACAGAAGTGTAAACAAGCGTACTTCGCGATATCATTTTTGTTAGACAATGATTGTTCGAGACGAGTATAATTCTATTTATATTTTTAGAATAATAGTGGAAGTGGTATGAATACATTGAATCTATCTATCTTGATTTGTAGGAACTTAAATGAAGGTCGTCTAATATAAATAAACATGATTTTATTCACTTTAATTTCCAAATATTATAGTAATTTGCAATTTAAATACATATACAAATATCTTAATCTACTTTATGTTGGCTCATTAAATAGTTTCAAATTATAGGATAATTAACACTATAAACATTCGGTTCTTTATTGCAAAAACTGTTTAGTTAAAAAAAATCACCTGAATTAATTCACATACAAGTTGATACCAAATATATTAAAATTTATTAATATCTCAGGAAATAGCTTTGCTTGTTTTGTATATTTTATAACAAACTTATTTTCATGTCAAAACATCAGTTCTTGAAGATTTTATTTATATACTTATGCCTGCTAGATCATTATAAGTATAGGTCTTGAAAAAGGTGTTTAAAGCTTGATCAAATAATGAGAGAAGAGTATTTTCTAAAATTAATAACATTTTTTTCAATAATGGTTTCATATTCTCAGAACTGATCATTTCAGTTATATTGAAGGATTTCGAATGTCCATAATCGAAATGTTCCTGCACCAATTGAAATTGTCCACCGATCTTGATCTTTAAATTTTGATTGACCATTCGCAAATATTCTTTTCCGTAACTGTTGTAGCGCTCCGTCTTTAATGTATAATACAATTGGACATTTCCTAAAAGTATTACAAAAATATTATAAATCAATATAAAAAAAATAACTTACTTCCAATCGTCCGCAATATTCCTGTGGTATCAAAGTTATAGTTTGCGTATCTACCAATCATTTCTGAGTAACCTTCGGATCTGATCTCAGCGAACGAAATTTGCATTTTATAAATATTATCCATCGAATCTGCTTGTATATCAACAATCTCAAAGTTTTCGAAACCCGTCAGGTTTAGATTCCACGCGGATATTTGTAAATCGGCAATGTTGAGCACTGAGTAGGGAATGGAAAATGGAGATAATCTTGGTATAGATAATTCCGGTATTCCTTTAAAGATGTACGGTTTCGCCATCTCCAAATTCCTCCTAATGCACGTACTCAATCCTTGGCATCGTGTGCACGGTACAATAAAAGGAGCTGAACAATTTTTATTTAATATTATAATTAAATATTTCTTTTACTCTATAACTTACGGAGTTGAGCTGCTGAAGAAAATCCAATTAAAATACATACGATTAATGAAGCCTTCATTTTTTTATTAATACTAAATGAAATCCTCGAAAATCATTTCTTTTATACCTGAAACCCCAGAAGTTCAAAACAACAGTTCTTCGAATATTTTTTTATCAAAAAATAAGCGAAATTATTGAAAAATCCAAACCAGTTTTAAATTAATTTGTTTCTGTTTCTTTTTATATTCAGAAAACGTTCTTTATAAATAGAATACATTTTGATTCAATTTTATAATATATATATATAAACGACGTGAAACAATTGTATGTAAATATTCTCCCAATTATTTTACTGACGATCGAATTGATAGCTTTTCCAGTGCAGCACTTTTGTCTTGATTGTACTTAAATCGTTAATTGTTCAACTATTATGGATGTCATTGAAGTCGAGACTGTTGCAATTGAAATAGAAAGGCTCGTTCTTCTTAATGTTTATCTATAAGTTCTTCATACGCAAATGAACACTGCATTTTATATTTAAAGATTTTTAATAAATTACATCAGATAATTAAAATATGTTCTTATAAAACAACGCTTAATTATATTTTTCTTCAGAAACAATTAATATCTACTGGACTTAATTACTTTTGTTATTGAATTGAATAATAGGAAATTTCATTTATATACTTATGACTGCCAAATCGTTATAAGTATAGGTCTTCAAAAAGGTATTCAAAGCTTGATCGAGTAATGAGAGAAGATCATTTTCTAAGGTTAATAATATTTGTTCCAATAATGGTTTCATGATCATTTTAGTTATATTGAAAATTTTCGAATATCCATCATCAAAATGTTCCTGCACCAATTGAAATTGTCGATCGATCATGATCTTTAAATTTTGATTGACCATTCGCAAATATTGTTTTCCGTAACTGTTGTAGCGCTCCGTCTTTAATGTATAAAACAATTGTAAATTCTCTAAAAGTATTAGAAAAATATTATAACTATTACTTCCAATTGCCCTAAATATTCCAGTTGAGTGGAAGTTAAAGTTTACGTATCTACCAATAATTTTTGCTTTTAATCTCAGGGAACTCAAATTGCATTTTATAAATATTATCTAGCGAATCTGCTTGCAAATCAACAATATCGAAACCCGTCAGGTTTACATTCCACTCGGATATTTCAAAATCTGGAACATTGATCACTGCGTAAGGAATTTATAATGGCGATAATCTTGGTATAGATAATCCCGGTATTCCCTTAAAGATGTACGGTTTCGCCATCTCCAAATTCCTTTTGATGCACGTACTCAATCCTTGGCATTTTGTGCACGGTACAATGAAAGAAGCTAAAAAGTTTTCTTTTATAATTATAATAATGTTTATTGCATCAGTTAAAAAAGAAAACAAAATAAATATTTATAATTTAACAAAAAAAGTCAACAAGTACAAAGGGCTATTGATAGGTCTTTTTACCCATTTATTTTATATTATAATTTAATATTTATTTTACTCATTAACTAACGAAGCTGAGCTGCTGATACAAATCCAATGAAAATATATACGATTAATGAAGTCTTCATTTTTTATTAATACTAAATGAGAACCTCGAAAATTGTTTATTTTATACCTGAAATCCGTGATCTTCAAAACAACAGTTCATGGAATATGTTTTTTTTATCAAAAATAAACAAAATTATCCACTTTTAAATTAATTTGTTTCTGTTATTTCTAAACTTACAGATGAAAGAATTATATTCAGAAAACGTTCTTTATTTAAGTTTAAAATAGTATACATTTTGATACAGTATTATAATATTTTCAAACAACGGGAAACAATTGTTTGTAAGGGATATTTATAAATATTCTCCTAATTATTCTACCGACGATCGAATCGAAAAGCTTTTCCAGTCCAGCACTGATGTCATTCACAAATTCGTCTTGATTCTCATTAAAGTAATCGTTGATTGTTCTGCTATTCTGGATGTGGTTAAAGCGGACATTGTTGAAATCGAAATGGAAAGGCCCGTTCTTCTTAACGCCAATTTGCAAGTTCTTCATGCGCAAATGTACATTATTTTGCTTCATGTATTGTTCCGTATCAAATTTGAATGAGACCAACAAATTTGCTGAAAAAAATGAAATAATTAATTCTCCTACATTATTTTGCTTATTAAATATTAAATTACTTCCGTTTCCGTAACTTCTTCCGTTCCCAGCGATGTACGTCCTCACGAAAGTTCCTTCCATATTTAAATCGCCTAATCCTTCGAAGGAAACGAATACGAAATCGAATTTGAACGTGCCTTCTTGCAAATCGACTTGCACGTCTTTCACGCGGAAATTTGAAAATCCTTTCAATTCCAAATTCGTTAACGTTATTTTCATGTGCTCATTGATCACTTCGATTTTGACTTTGTTGAGTTTATTCATAGGGCCTATAAATAATTCAGGGATTCCTCTGTATAAGTGAGGTCTGCATTGCTCAATATTCCATTTTATACATTGATTAAGATTCGGATCCTTCCTCGAGCACGGCCTTATGTAACTTGCTGCAAGAAGATAATATTATTACAGAAATTACCACAAAATTTAATACTCACGAAGATCATAAGCAGACACAGCTACAAGAGTTAGTATTAGCAACTTGAACATTTTTTTCGTTTGTGACCATTTGGACGAAATCCTCCTTTTATATAGTGCCTTTGGAACAAGGGTTTCGTTAATGTATGCACGACCAGAATGGCTAACCTGTTTCATCGTAATTTATCACCAACTAAGTACGAATCACATTCTTGAATTCTTGAGTCATAATGTTTTTGAAGTTCAATAATAGATTACATGCCATTAATTTAATTTATTGTCTAAGATATTAATATATTTCGCATTGAATTTCATCTGCAGATAAAATATAGTTTAGAAATTAACTAATGAGAGGATTCGTGACTTATTTGCAATTAAAAATACGTTAATTTGAATATTAGAAGATAACAAAACGTTTTGTAAACAAATAGTTTTGTCTACTTTTTTTTATAAATTTCTTATCATTATTGAAAAAAAAATTAATTTGAAATTACTTGTGTTTAAGAAAAATTCGTATTATTTTTGTATCTCAGAAACACAGATGGATACAAAAATTGTTTACCAATAAAGATTTATTATGTGGAATTAAAATAAATGTAATATATTCATAGCATTATTTTTTTTTTTGTAGATCTTTAATGGGATTCAACAAATACGAAACAAGTTTTGTCAATGAACTTTCAGGTTGTAAAAAAGAAACGAAATAATTATTTATTTGGAAATTGCTTCAAAAATTATTATATTTTGATGTTACTTGTAAATATATAATATTTATATACCACATTTTTTTATACATAAATGATCGATATTTTCCCTTTTTTTGCAATTTATTTTCGTATTTATTTTGTTCTGGTCTTAAGCAATCTGAGAAAATATATATAATGATGGAATATTGAATTGAGATTTTATTTCAGTTATTGTGAAATATAGCTAGTATAGTTTATCAACGTTATGAAACAAAATTTTATAGATGTATAATTCGTATATTTCTCATATGATTTATTTAAGAAAAACTAAATTAAACATATAATAAATATAAATACAAAAAAATATATTTCTTAATAATAATTTTAGTATTATCAATTGATTTATATTTTTTATTATTCTATTTTCTTGCAATAAATGTTATTATTATTATTTAAGATAATATTTATTATAACAGTCGCAAATTATAAAAAAGAAAATTTAAGACAATTTATGGAAAAATTCATTGTACGTATAAGTAAAGAAAAAAGTATCAGTAAAATCGAACAATAAATCCTGAATAGCATCTTTTAGTTTTGGAACAAACAACTCGAATAAAATATCGCTATATTTTTCGTCAAATAAACCCGAAAAATCAAATTTATTCACATACGCTTCGGTCATATACACACGGAAAGGACCTTCTCTACTTATATCGATTTTCCAATCCACATGCTCTAAGTAAATTTGCTTATTCCGTTGAACTATCTTGGTTTTTAGCTCTAAATTCAAAATTAAATCAACTGAAATAACAATATATTAGTAACGTTTTATTGATGATGAAAATTGAACTTACTTGCAAATGATTTGATTGTTCCCATATTATCAACATTAACATCCTCCGAGTCCATTTTGAAAAGATCTTTATACCTATATGATCCATTGCCCGATAAGTGAGGGATACGGATTTGGAATTTGAAGATGTTATTTTTCAGATCTGTATTAACATTAAGGACCTCGTAATTGTTTAATCCCTTTACAGTATAGTTCCATATTTGAAATTCAAAGTTGGGGATAACTTTCTTAAAGGAATTTTGAATAGGAACATGCGTTAAACTCGGTATATCTAGGTCGGGAATTCCTTTCGTAAGATAGGGTTTTGCAGCTTCAAAGTTGTTAAAAACACATGTATCTATATCATGCGAGTGTGGACTGCAAGGTGTTATGAATGTAGCTGAAATAAATGTGTTAATTATAATATTATAATTAAATAAATAATTATAAATACTTACGCAATGCTGCAGCATTCACGAAAACTACAAATGTTGATAGAAGTAATATATTTAGAAACATCTTGTTTTCACGTTATAAAATATTAATTAAAAATTAATATATAATAACTATGTTTTAATACAATTGACTTATTTCTTGGTAATTGAAAATATTTATGAATATCAAAAGTCAAAGAAATATTGTATTATACTATGATATCTGTTTCCGTGGTTTATCTATTTATATGAATTTTATCAAACCCCCACTATGGATCTCCTGTAGTACAATAAAAAGGGTAGTTAGTTTGTTTGTTTCCATTATCCCAAAAAATGATATTTTTTGCCTTTAGTCTAATCTCTGGTTGACCGAGTTATAAAAGTATTTTCATTTAATTACCCACGATTATCGATTTTAGATAATAGTTATTTATTTTACGTTTATCAAAAGAATGAACATTTTGGTTTAAACTACAAACTTTCCTAAACATAAAAATTTCTTAGAAAACGTCCACTGTTTAGTCTTTTTTGACTTTTAATCATTCACAATCTGCCACAATTTTGGAAACGAGATGAACTGCTTTTTGATATTGACAAAAAAAGTAAATAAAAACAGAAAAAAAATAAGTAGGCATGAAACGAAAAGATTTCCCATATCTATTCTTCTTCCTATATCTTCCTATAAACAAATATAAATTTAACAATAAAAATATAATTCAATGACAATAACAACCCAACTAAAAATTGATTTTGACGACACTATAAAACTTAAATAAAAATAATCACTCTAATGGACAAGAAAACTAACTTCTAGATTCTAAGGGGGAGGTGGAGGGTGTTGTGTCTCTTTAGGGTGTCACTGTTGTCTAGCAGGAATAACGCGAGACTGTTGGGATGATTTTCCAGTCTGTTCTGGTAACGGGCACTGAACTTGGGGATTTCACTCTTAACAGTGTTCATGTGGGGGTCTCTATGTATCGTGTCGTTCGTCACGTACTAGAGGGCTTGCGATCCAGGAATATACCTAGGTACCTGGCATCGTCGGCCTGCGGTTTTTCTGTTCAGTGTTGCCTCTTTTTAAGGGTGAAAGTGACTTCCTGAGCCACTTCTGGTACGCGTAGAGATGACTCTTGTTTAGTCTTAAACTAAAAAAAATATTTAGTTTACTTATCATTTATTTTTATGTTTTAGAGACAGATAAATGAAAAATGAACTGAATTAGTTTTTTTTTTCATAGAGACCCTTTAATTTGACCTAATGAATATATTTTTTTTTAATTAAACAATCGATAGAAAAAAGAAGATTTTGTTTTCTTATGACTTATGAAACAAATAGGCTCAATTATGTACGTGCATTATTGAAAACATAGCTATTGCAACTTTTATTTGTAAGATACAATACAGTCTTTATCTCCAGGTAATATTAGAAAAGTTCTACTGTATTTCGTTTGATTCAATGTAATAAGTCATATTTTGAGTAAATAAATGTATTCCAATAAAGCTAATAGAGTAAAAATCAAAGTTATTAGAAAAATAATTAACATAGACAAAAAAATCCTAATTTAATAAAAATGTACTTTCTAACACATATTCGCGTATAATCGCATACACGAATTATGAGAAGAAATTATTTTGAATAAATGTAGAAAAAAAGAGATTTCTAAACTAGAATTTAAATACTTTCATCTTGATCAAAAGTTGTCCATAAAAAAAACTTGATATATTCATTACATTCAATATTTAGGACTATATTTCCAAAAATGGTTTTTCTTTGTCATAATTTATGGCTTCCAGAAGAAATGGATTCGTATCCTATTATTCCGCGGCGAAGAATTTCATAGCTGTGTCGTGCATAATGCTATTAATTGTTAGGATATTTGCCTCTCTATGGAGCTGATGGTTTATTGAGAGTCATGTCTACAATCATATTCTTCACTCTCTGGAGCATCTGGATTCTACTCTTTGCTGTGTGCTCCTAATCACAGCAGGGTGAATTATGGTTTTATAGAGGAATAAAGAGGATGGAATTAGTCTTCTTGTTGAACGTGATTCATCGTCACTTTTTTAGCCACTTTCACAATGCGCGGAAGAAGATTGATTAGTTTGTAGTTTTGCGGAAATTTGTTTGAAAATAATAAAGATAACTGTGGTTATTTATATTTATAATGTTATTGGGTTGTCCGCAAAGATCGTGCCGATTTTCGCACTGACACTATCTAAATATATCAGAATACTTAAAAACTATTGACTTGTTTACATATTCTGAAAAGTGTAAAAGTAACCATGTTATATAAATATTAAATTGTTTAAAAATATTCACTAGTTTTCCATAGAGATTATTTCAAAGTTCACATTTCTTTTAACTTAACGTCTTTCTGCCCCGATATTATTATATGTATATGTTTACAGTGCATCTCTTCAAATAATGTATTTCTCTCATGAGAATCAAATAAAACTGATAAAAACAGTCTATTGTCCGTAAGTCCCTCCGCATGAACTCAAATAATATAACAATTTGGAATTTGTTCAATAGATTGATAACATTATTATCAAATACCGGAAGAAAAAACACAAATATTTTGTTTATAAATATTCATTATCTCCAACTTTTTCAAACACAAATTACATCAATGTAATTAATAGATATACCAAAAATGGTATTTCTGTATTCTTCCTGTAAATAAAATGAATCATTAAAAAAACATTTGTATTTAATTATGAAAACAGATAAACATACATAAATAAAAAACATATAATTATATTCAAATAAAAAAGTAATTAAGTGTTAAAAAATGCTGTTCATCTTTAAGAAATAAAATTGTTTGTAATTGTAGATATCTTTATTGAAACAGTTAAACATACATAAATAAAAAATAACGTATTTCTTAAAACATATTCAAATAATAATTGTTAAAATTAAATTTTGTACTAAATTTGCTCTTATTAGTTTAATACTTTCAAGTTGAACAATATTTTGATGCATCTGCACTATAGACTTTAAAATATACACTTCTAAAACTAATAAAAAAATACAGTTTTATAATTTGTGTATTTTTTTTTATATTTTTTTAACATCTTATGGAAAGAGGAAAGTTAACAATGGAAATACAAACATATTTGTATGTATAACATAATTATAACTTAAGGTAAAAGCTCTTCGTAGGTATAAGTTTTGAAGACATTGTCAATAGCTTTATCGAGAAGACTTTTTATCTGGTTTTCTAGAATTGGAGCAACCAGTTCGAACATATAAAAACTATTGTCTTTTATAACTAGATTCATAATTTCCGTAATCATTGTATTTCCCGAATACAAGTTATAAAGATACATATAAAAGCTACCATGTATTTTTGCATTCACATGGCTGTTTACCTTCTCCAAGTAATTGTGACCATTACGTTGAACTACCTTGGTTTTCAGTACTAAATTTACAATTAATGTTGCTGAAAAAAATAACTCACAATAACTAATAATTCTCTGTAAGAATGTTGCAAACTTACTTCCATTCACTTTGATTGGTCCGGTGCCATCAAAATTCAAATTAAACAAATTGCCTTTGAATCCATACGAACCATTACCTTCACCATATGGAAATTCGATTTCGATTTTAAAGATGTTCTCTTTTGGATCTACGTCAACTTTTAGGATATTGAAATTTTCAAGACCTGTAATATCGTAGTTCCATACTCCGAATTCATAGTTGGATCTGTTCAGATACGAGTACGGAATATAGATATGTTTTAAACTAGGTATGGATAATTCGGGTATTCCATCCAGTAGATACGGTTTTGCATCATCTAATTTAATAGAAATGCATTCATTCAAGTCGAACGATTTTTGACTACAAGGATTTGTTAATGGAGCTAAAATTATTTCATTATTTACAAAAAAAACACAAGTTAAAGATAACTACTTACCTACTTTTATAGCATTTGCAATGGCCACAATTGATGATACAACTACAATATAGAGAAGCATTTTGCTTTTAAGTTGTTTTCTCGAATTTTAGCTTATATATATATATATATATATGTAATAAAACATAAATTACAAACAAATATTTGACGACACTTTAAGTTTTAAACATACACGTGTCATATTTATTTTAGAAAACATTATATAATTATGTGCAATCTAATAACATATTATGAATTTAAATCTTATTCAAGTTGTTATTTATGAATCAGATTTAGTTTTTGTTGCTTTATAATAAAAAATAATGAAATAACATCAATTCTGCAGAATTTAAATATTTTTTGCTAGTAGGTAATATTTAAGACAAAGTAAGTTGAGCAAATAAATCATGTTAATTATACATTAAAGTTGATATAATTAATTTAAAAAATATTAATTTCGTTTTTTTTTTGCACATAATCCAGTACAATGGATACAATTATAATATTTCATATATTATATAACAGAGGTATATAACGTTTTTTTTTTGCACATAATCCAGTACAATGGATACAATTATAATATTTCATATATTATATAACAGAGGTAGCCAAAATTTTAGACCTCACGGACAAATAAATCAAAATTTTTAATCATTATCATAAAAAGAAGATTCTAAATATCACCATTACTTACACTTGATTTTGCATTAGGTCTTTTACAAATATATAATGTAATAAGACGAAAATTATAAAAAAAAAGTAGAATCATAAAATAATAAATAAATGCATCTATATTCAAATTATTCTGCGAATGTTTTTGTTCATTGTTAAAAGACACTAAAAATGCAAATAAACCTTTCCATTATCGTAATCTTTTCTAAAAATTATTATAGAAAACATTAACTAACATTATTATCATTTTTTTATAATAAATGTATTATTTACAATGCAGGCAAAGAGTAAATCGGTTTGAAACTGTAACAAAATATAACAATGAACGGAAAAGTTTCGAAATTACATAACATTTTTTTTATGTTCATCAATGTAACCATTGATTTTGTTAGATTTTTTTGAATTTTTATTGTTGAAAGTATCCGATCTATATTATAACAATATTTCTGTAGACTTTTCCTTTAATTAATTCACTGAAACAATACTATCTCAGTGAATATTCTTATTAGGTAATGTTTTGTAGTTATAATCTGTATTGAATATAGTAGTTCAAGTGTATGTACACATATTGTGTTTTTCTTTAATTGTTTTATCAACATTGCAATGGAGTAACTTTGTTTTTAATTCAAAAGAAATTAAGGATAGTTGGGGCCCCTAGGTAAATTTTTGTTCGAGGCCCCTAGGCACGTGTTTCAACGTCTTCATGGATAATCCTGACTAAAACTATATATAACTTGTGTATTCCTTTATTTATAAAATGTTAACAATAAAAAACCTTAAAATACGAATATTTTTTTGTTGTTTATAATAAAAATGTATAGTGATTGTGTTTCGCTTAAGGCAAAAGCTCATCGGAAGTGTATGTTTCGAAGAAATTGTTAAGAGCTTTGTCGAGCACACTATCAAAATAGTTTTCTAGAATGGGAACAAGAAGTTCAAACATATAAGAACTATTATCATTAATAACATCATTCATAATTTTCGAAATCTTCGTGTTTCCCGAATACAATTTGTACAGATCCATATGTAAAATTCCATCTGTAGTAATATCAATATCCCTGTGTACCTGCTGAAAGTAATTGTCACCATTTTGGTGAATTATATTGGTTTTCACCTCTAAATCTAAAATTAGTTGTGCTGGAACAAATGATATTTTAAAGAATGTTATTAATAACAAAGCTGTTAACTAACTTGCGTATACTTCGATTGGTCCGGTGCCATCAAACTTCATATTAAATAAATTTCCTTTGCATCCATAAGATCCAATACCATCAATACGAGGAAATTTGATTTGGAATTTGAAAAGATTATTTTTTAGATCTACGTCAACTTTCAGGACATTGAAATTTTCGAGCCCTGTAATATTGTAGTTCCATAATCCAAATTCAAAGTTGGAACTGTTAATGACCGAGTACGGAATATAAATATTTTTTAAACTAGGTATGAGTAAATCTGGTAATCCATCTGCTAAATACGGTTTTGCAGCTTCTATTTTATTAGAAATGTATTCATTCAAATCCAATGATTGTTGATTGAATGACTTTATTTGTGGACCTAAAATTATTTAGTTATCTTTAGAATTATATCACAAATTGATGATAACTACTTACATAATTTTGCAGCATTTGCAAGGATAACAATTGAGGATACAACTGCTACGTGGAGAAACATTTTGAATTTAAGTTGTTTTCTCGAATTTTAGCTTATATATACTTTTGATGAAACATAAATTACAAACAAATATTTGAAGAAAACTTAAATTTTAATTATCCAGTCACGTATATTTGAAAACATTATAAACGTGTGTATAATCTAATAAAATTCTATAAAATTTCCTGTCGTTATTTATTTATCAGATTTAGTTTTTGTTAATAAAACATTTATATAAGTAACAAAAACAATGAAATAACATTCATTTTGCACCAATTAAATATTGTTAATTATTTGAAAGAAAACTATGTATACAACTTATTACAAAAATATTTGAGAATGGTAAAAAGATGAAACTATATATATATCAAAATGTATGGTTTCCTACAATATAACACTGTCTTAATGTTTATTTTGCTCATTGCATATAATAATGTACATTGCGTGGACACTACGCAAAAATGATGTAGCAGGCTCGTAATCCTGCTCGTAAGCAGAAAGCACGGTGAAACAACATTTCACCCGAGCCAGGTGATGTCTGGCCATGGATGCTTTGGCAAGTACCTGCACTTCATCGCGAAGAAGGTGTACGAAAGGTGCTGGTATTGTGAGGAGGATGGTAGCCTTGAACACACGCTATTTAGGTGCTGCAGATGGGTTGGAAGGAAGCACGAGGCGGAGGCAGAATTGGGAGTTCTGCTAGAGCCAGAAAATGTTATCAGTCTGGAATAGTTTAAAAATGTTACTGTAGACATTTTCGATATAGTCGGGATTTTGATACAGTTGGGATTATGGTTTTCGGGATTTTCATATAGTCGGGATTATAGTTGTCGGAATTTCGATACAGTCGGCATTTCAAACATCGGGAATTTGATTGGCGGTATTTCGGTTGTCGGGCTTGCGATTGCCACCGGTCTATCAAACACTGGGAATTCCCATCTTGTCACTCATCCGAAATATCGCTCGTTAAGCTAGTTATTTTTGTTACAATTTAAGAGAGGTATTACTGTATTATATTTTATAACAAACTGTATAGCAAATGTTTTTATTTTCTTCGGTGAAACAGACTAAGAATTTATTTAAAAAAATTGATTATCTTAACATTATCATTATAATTGCAATAGAAGCTTTTCTATAGTCTTATTTTAATTTTAAAAAAATACAATTGCATTGGAGTAAATTTGTAGGAAGTAGGAACAATTTTGAAGAGATACAATACTTTTTTAATAAAAAATAAATATAGATAATAATAATTTTGTTATTATGAATATTAACGATATTTGCATTTAAATACGAACATTATTATTTGTTTAGAATAAAATTTAATTAAAATGCTTGTGTTTCACTTAAGGAAAAAGCTCATCGTAAGTGTACGTTTCGAAGAATTTATCAATAGCTTTGTCGAGCACACCATCTAAATGTTTCTCTAGAATAGGAACAAGAAGTTCAACCATATAATAACTATTGTCATTAAAAATTCCATTCATAATTTCCGTAATCTTTGTATTCCCCATATATAAATTGTCCATGTACACGTGAAAAACACTGTTAGTACTTATATCGATACGCCTGTATACCTGCTGGAAGTAAGTAAATCCTTTGCGTTCAACTAGCTTGGTTTTTAGCTCTAAATCCATAAAAAAATTTGCTGAAATAAATAATATTTAAAAATAATCTTAGTGAAAAAGTTAGTAACTTACTTGCGTAGATATTTATTGGTCCGGTACCATCAAACTTCATATTAAACAAATTTCCTTTGCATCCATAAAATCCGTTACCTTCAGCATAAGGAAATTTCATTTGGAATTTGAAGACGTTATTTTTTAGATCAACATCAACTTTCTGAACATTGAAATTTTCGAGTCCTGTAAGATAGTAATTCCATAATTCGAATTAAAAATTGGATTTATTCACGACCGAGTACGGAATAACGATATGTTTTAAACTAGGTATGGATAAATCTGGTAATCCATCTGCTAAATACGGTTTTGCAGCTTCTATTTTATTAGAAATGCATTCATTCAAGTCCAATGAATCTTGATACAATGGTTTTATATACGGAACTAAAATAATACATACAATTATATATTTACTTCACAAATAGGTGATAACTACTTACATATTTTTCCAGCATTTGCTATGATTACAATGGAGGATACAACTGCGATTTGGAGAATCATTTTGCATTTAAGCTGTTTTTCTCGTATTTTCACGTATATATACTTTTGATGAAACTTAAATTGCAAACAAATATTTGACGAGATCTTAAGTTTATATTAACCAACTACGGCAGGTTTTTCGAAAACATTATATATCTAATTAAATATTATGCATTTTGATCTTATTCCAGTCCTTATTTATGAATCACATTTAGTGTTTGTTAATAAAACAGCGATTTAATAATAGTATATTGCGTAGACACAATATGTTTCATAAACTGTATGACTTGTTTATCAGTTTTTCACATAAAATAACAAAATGTAATTAAAAAATTTCATTATCTTAATCTTTTATAAATAAACATTATCTAAATTAAAAACCATTACATTAACTTTGTTTAATTAGTAAAGTAATTCATTGAAACTATATTATCTTAGTGAATATGCTTAGTAAATATAATTTATTGAATACTGTTATAGCATTTATACCTTCAAAGTATAAATATGTAATTTCTAATTAAATTATAGCAGTTTTTCTATTTATAGCAAACAATGTTTAATTATAAAAAGAATAAAATGCTTTATGAACTAAAAACTATAATATTTATTATTATTAACAAAAGGAACAAATACAATTAAATTTGTATGGCTTTACGGTCAACTTTTGTGGAACCCGTAAAGCGAGGTACTATTGTAATAAAAATAATTAAAATGTACATATACATAATTTGTCTTTATTTATTTAATCAGTTATGATAAACCACACAAAAATTGTTAAGAATAAAAATCCTTTAAATTTAAAGTTATTGTGTTTCGTTTAAGGAAAAAGCTCATCGTAGGTGTAAGTTTCGAAGAAATTATTAGTAGCTTTGTCGAGCACACTATCTAAATAGTTTTCTAGAATGGGAACAACAATTTCAAACATATAATAACTGTTATCATTAATAATTCCATTCATGATTTCCGAAATCTTCGTGTTTCCCGAATACAATTTGTACAGATCCATATGAAAAATACCATTTGTAGTTATATCAATATCCCTGTCAACTTGCTGTAAATACTTGTGACCATTACGTTGAATTATATTTGTTTTCAGCTCTAAGTTCAAAATTAATTTCGCTGAAACAAAATATATTTTATAAATTTTATTAGAAACAATGCTATTAACTTACTTGCAAACGCTTCGATTGGTCCGGTGCCATCAAACTTTATATTGAATAAATTCCCCTTGCATCCATAAGATCCATTACCTTGAATATAAGGAAACTCGATTTGGAATTTGAAGAGGTTATTTTTTAGATCAACATCAACTTTCAAGATATTGAAATTTTCGAGCCCTGTAATATTGTAATTCCATAATTCGAATTCAATGTTGGATCTGTTCACGACTGAGTACGGTAAAACGACATGTTTCAAACTAGGTATGGATAAATCGGGTAATCCATCTGCTAAATACGGTTTCGCAGCTTCGATTTTATTTGAAATGCATTCATTTATGTCCAACGATTGTTGGTTGAATGGAGCTGAAATTATTTAGTTATTTAAACAATTATTTCTCAAATTAATGATAAGTACTTACATAATTTTGCAGCATTTGCAATGACTACAATTGAGGATACAACTGCGATGTGTAGGAACATTTTAATTTTATGTTGTTTTCTCGGATTTTATTATATATATACTTTTTTGATAAAAGATAAATTATAAACAAATATTTGATGACACCTAGATTGAATTCATCAGACAGGTTTATCATTAATTTTTAAAAACATTACATATTTCTGTATACTCCAATAACAAATTATTATTGTAGATCTGATTCCACACGTTAATTGTGAATTAGATTAAGTTAACATTTTTTTTGTTAAGAAAACAATTTGATTTTAGCGATATAATAATTAAATAACATCAATTCTATAATACTTTAACATTTTTTGCAAATAAGAAATATTTAAAAAAGGAAACAGATAATGCAAATTATAAAATAAAATTGATATAGTTTATTAAAAAAAGAAATTGAAAATATAACGGGTTTCTTAGAATGAATCACTGGGTCTAGTGCACTATGTATATTATATTACGTATTATGTATATTTTTTACTTTTTCACATAATATTTAAAAAAAAAACAGTATATCCATCTTCTCTAAATATAGATTATCTAAATGTAAATATTGATATTGACGTTAAGCTGAATGCACGTATTGACCTGAGTTTCTGTCTTAAATCCAAATTACAGTGCAAATAACAACGTAAAAAAGTACATAAATGCCGGAGATCTAAAAGGAATGCAGAAAAATGTGTAAGAAAACGAAACCTCGATCCATGGGATAAAATAGAAGAAATAGGAAAATAAGAAAGTAAAATACATATATTAGATTCGTTGTAGGGATCAGTTCAAATAAATAGTTCTTAACTACTACAGCACAAGAAATGCACGAACTAGAACTACGATCTTCTATTTCTTTAAACATACGGACTGGCAAAATTATGAGAAATGGTTAATATATATAATTTTATGTCATAGTATTATAGTATATATATCATAGTATATATAGTTATTCCTGCGAATATTAATTAATTCTAATGGTGGTAGACCATTGTTTTCTGGTAAACTTTGCAATGGAAGTTTTTACTATTATATTCTTCTGTAAGTTGTTGGTTGGCTGCCGTCTTGTATCAAACTTCAGTATATTGATGCTCTGCGATTCCAATGTTCCCTTTGTCTGTGTATCT